CCCTATAACATAGATACAACATTTTAATGAACAGTGCTTTCCATAAAACCAATAAAATGAAAAATATACGAAACAATATACATGTACTGATTTCTTTCGAAAATCGACAACTATGAAACTATGTACCCTTCCCGGACACAAACGGTACATTGTGAGACAGGAAATTGTAGAGAGAAACAAACCCTATAACATAGGATACAACATTTTAATGAACAGTGCTTTCCATTAAATCAATAAAATGAAAAATATACGAAATAAAATACATGTACTGATTTCTTTCGAAAATCGACAACTATGAAACTATGAACCGTTCCTGGACACAAACGGTACATTGTGAAACAGGAAATTGTAAAGAGAAACAAGCCCTATAAAGGGGCACATATACAGGAGGGGGTAATTACCCCTTCCAGAAAGAAATTAATTAATAAGATATAATTTGGTATAAAATAAAATTGTTACAAAAAAGTTAATAATACAAATTAAAACAGAATATCCAAACCAATCCAAGTAGATTTTTTTCCGGTTACAATACCTTCCAGCAAAAATTTAATTCAAATTTAGTACTTTTTTGAATATTCAAACTACCCCTCCCAGACTCAATCTCTAGATGCGCCACTGAATTCCGTACAGTAACTGAATTTTAAATTATCTCTTTATTTTCCAGGAAATTTAGTCCAAACATAAGGATTTTTTTGTTGATGTTTGATCATCAAAATCTTAAAAATAAAGAAGTTGTCTAAAAATGTGCTACAATAGGGATATAGTATAATCCTTTATCTTTAATTTCCTTCTTCATTTGTGTAAAAATACCTAGCCAGTTTTACATAAAACGTTAGATGCCGAACGCTTATTTTGCTACTTTTCCGGACTAGTGAAATGAAGCCTTTAAGTCGGCCATTTTAGAGGCCCTTCCCAATCTTTTTATTCAAGATTATCCCTTTTAAATTTAGTGTAAATTTTGATCGTTCTTCTAACTGGTTTAACGATGTGTGTTTATTTCAAATATAATCAATTCATTCTTGTTTTTAAGCAATTTTTAAACTGAATTTATTGCATTATTGTATTAACCAATTAATTCGCTTTCTAAACGAGAAATGGGACCTATTTTTCTGTTAATAAATCAACGGTTGACGATGTTTTACCAACTGTTAAATTTTATTTCGTACGCTAATCTAATTGAGCATATACGCAGTAATTGATTTAAATTGGAGTTATTATGGTAATTGTTCTTAAACTACTTACTGTTCGAATCAAAATGCATTGTCGATTGTTTTCGATGATTGATATTTTGAAAACAATGCCGAAGGTCGTGTAAATATTAATTTTTCAAGCGAATGAATTAGACAGTAAGGAACAACAAACAATTTTAAAGATGATAATGTGGTCGAATCCTTCCGGATCTTGAAATTTCCTACTTTTGTACATTATTTGCAGGGCCAAAATTTAAAAAAAATTGATTTATTTTTTATTTTTGAGAGCCACCGGATTTTTTCTGTATCATTTGCATCCCTTTTAGTGCCGTAACCATGGTAATATCATAGTAGAAGAAAAAGAGTAGTTGTACTCTTCCAAATATTTTCTGCAAGTTTTTACAATCTGTCAAATATCGGCAGATTGCAGAGCGTTTCAGTTGAGTTCCGTCCGTCGGGAAATGTGAAAATATTCTGTTTTCAAGCAAATTTTTACTCGATGATTTTTTTTATTTTATTTTATTGTCAACTCATATTTTCCTAAATACATCTCTGTGAAACTATGGCAAGTGCTACGACTATACTTTGCCTAGTTATAGACCACGACTATACAGCTACGTCAGTGGTCACGGGACGCGAGAACAAGGTCATATAAAGTGGCAGAAAAAGAACAAAGGATTTGACAAGGAGTAAAGCTACTAGCCTTCTACTAGTTTCCTTATACTATGGTAATATCAGAGATTAAGAAATACGGTGGGAAAATTTGCGGCGAACAGGCGGTTATAAAAAGCTTTCTAAAATATACAGAAAAATTTAAAAGACAATGCACGATTTTCAACATTTTCTTACTAAAAGAAACGCATAAACAAATTGCTGGGATCCAAATATACCACCACTATAAATATTTGCACTTATTTAAGACTCACCCTGTATAGATAAACACCTTATTCATAAAAAAAACATTTGAAAAGACTCTTATTGACTTTTTTCAACTTCTAGGCATTCAAAAAGAAATATTTAAAAGATCTCTCGTACGCATACCATCCCCAAAACGCAATTGCTTTTGAAAAATCGTTTCATCCTAAACACACACACATACACAGACGTGATATTCGCAGCACGTAGCGAATTTTTCTAAATACAATGGCTTTTCTAAGCCGCCTGTGTCACAATTCGCGCGAAAAAACTGACATCTGTCAGGCCGAAGCCGCCTGGACAAAAACACGGACAACAATAAGCGCCGTACAGAATTGAGGACGAGAGAGAGAGACGGAAAAAAAGAAACTTTTATTATTAAATATCTCGTCTGTAGTGACAGGGAGATGGTTTGGTCCTTCTCGTTCCCTCGGGCTGACCGAGTGTAATATGGCAGGAGTGAAGGACAGTGTCCAAAGGCCGGTACATTTTTATTAAAATGTACGCGAAAGTGACATGAGGAGTGGGAGTGAGTATGTCAAGTTGAAAATACGGAATATTATGTTTTTTTTTCGGGAAAGTCGGATAAGTAATTGCTCTGCGTTGTCAGATAAGTTTGTATTGTTAAAGTTACTTCATATATTTTTCATTTATATTTTTATTATTTCTATTATTAGGTATTACATTTATTTTGAACTAGCTGACTCGGCTTACTTCGTACCGCCTTAAGAGTCCAGTTCAAATGTTTAAACCTAAAATTGTCGTTACAATAGACGAATAAAATTGGCACATCTGCTATGGAATTTAAGTTAGAAATATGCTCATAACTCTGTTTTGTTATTTTATCATGTTTCTTACTTAAGAGTCGATTTCACTAGTCCAAAAAAGTAGCGAAATAAGCGTTCGGCATTTAACGTTTCATCTAAAACTGGCTAGGTATTTTTATACAAATGAAGACGAAAATTAAAGATAAAAAGGATTATACTATATTCGTATTGTAGGACATTTTTAGACAACTTCTAAATTTTTAAGATTTTGATGGCCAAACATCAACAAAATATTCCTTATGTTTGGACTAAATGTTCTCGAAAATAAAGACATAATTTAAAATTCCGTTACAATACGGAAATAGATTGAAGTTTTGTGATTACAGTGATATATAATTGGCTGTACTTAAACTGCCGTTAAACGGTAGCTTACTAAATTGCCGTTAATAGGTATGACGTCGTTGATGTGACGCACTTGACGGCTTTATGAAATATAGGAATTTTATAAGGACTAACCAACGCTATCCACCCCACCAAATAACCAACTTTACCAACGCAACTAACCTCGCCACTGATAAAAAATATAAAAAACAAATATAAATTAGTACAAATCAACCAACCCCACGAAATAACCAACTAACCAATGAATTAACACCCTCCAAATAACCACGCTAACCAACCCGCCAAATAACTAAACCAATCCAACCAAAAAGAGTGAAACCAATGCAATAAGATCACGCTATGTACTTAAACAGCCGTTAAACGGTAGCCTACTAAAATGCCGTTAATAGATATTGTGACGTCGCGTCGTTCATGTCGGCGGAAAGTAATGCCTAGCCTTAAGGATTTTGCAAGAGCACCTGTGGGTCAGTGGCTGAGGCTATCGCTTCGTAAGCGAATGGTCCGTGGTTCAAATCTCACGCCGACCAAGACTTTTTTATATTTTTTTTGCTTATAGCGTGATCTTATTGCATTGGTTTCACTCTTTTTGGTTGGATTGGTTTAGTTATTTGGCGGGTTGGTTAGCGTGGTGGGAGTTAATTCATTGGTTAGTTGGTTATTTGGTAGGGTTGGTTGATTTTTACTAATTTATATTTGTTTTCTATATTTTTTATCAGTGTCGAGGTTAGTTGCGTTGGTTAAGTTGGTTATTTGGTGGGGTGGATAGCGTTGGTTAGTCCTTATAAAATTCCTATATTTCATAAAGCCGTCAAGTGTGTCACACCAACGACGTCATACCTATTAACGGCATTTTAGTAAGCTACCGTTTAACGACAGTTTAAGTACAGCCTATAATTTATATGGTTTTGTAACAAATTGATCATTATTTTATGGCAAATGCTGAAACAACTTTTTTCTTTATAACATATTTTTAAACTTTTTAAACTAACAATTAAGTAAAAGCATCCGTTCATTTTACCTATAGAAGACACTAATATCATCATTCGTTTTAATATTTTATAAAATCAATTATATTAAATTAAAAAAATATATTTACAGTGGTTCGATAAATGATGTTTATCTGTTAACATTCTTTATATTAATATCTGAAGGTCTGGCAATACTTGTGGCGACAAATGTTTTTTTTTTTGGATGTATCAGCAATAGGGATGGGCAATTCTGTAAAGGAATCGATCTAGATCGAATGATCGCGAATAGATACTGAAAAAATCGATTTTAGTGACATCGATCTTTTTTTAATTCAATTTTGACTCTGATTTTCCGTTTTCGCAATAAAATATATATTTTTTGCGTGATTTTTTTCATTACTTTTTAAACAAAAATATATAAAACAAATTATTCAAAAAAGATATAATTCTGAATAATACAACAGCAAGCAAAATTACTTTAAGTGCCAGTGTAACGTAAAACTTCAAAACTTAAAACCTAAAAACAAATCAAAATTAAATTCTAAATAATTAAACAGTAAAATTACTTTAAAATTATTTCTTTTTATTACGTAATTACTGATATCTTCTGAAATTGACGATAAAATTCGGGTTGCATGACTATTCAATCTCGATCTGAAAGAATCGATTTTATATAAAATCGGTTTTCTGAAGAATCAATTTAAATGGAACATCCCTAATCACCAAATCCAATACAAAAATTGAAATTATGTACTCACCAAAATCATTGGCGTTCCCATGCATTCCAGAAGGTCCAGGCATCAATCCACTTAATCCTGCAAGAGGGTGATCTGTATTAAAAAAAGAAAAAGGATTATTAACATTATAGTCACAAAATTGTCTAAATTAGTATATACAGAGTGTACCCGAGAGATGAAAGCATTAGGATTTATTTTTCTTTGTGAAATATGAGTTCTGTAAAAATATCATATTACGAATATGATACCTTTAATAATAAAAGACTTTTAATATTGTAGGAGTCGATAAGTAAATTTCTTGTACTGGCAATGCTGGTGAATTCTGCTTCTACGTGAACTGCTTTTAATTTCTTATTTGGCGTATCTTTCTGTCCCATGATTCTTTTTGCTATGTCGGTTTTCTGTTCAATTGAATTTTCAATGTAACCTTCAGCAACCGAGCTTGATCGCCAACCTCCATGTCGCTTTAAAACTGTTATGTCCGCTCCTGAATCTGCCAGAATTGTTGCAGAGCTGCGCCGGAAACAATGACCAGTGTATTCAATGGCATTGGAGAGTCCAAGAAATTCCGCTATATTTTCTAGCATACCTCCAATTGTATTGATTCCAACTGGTAGGGTACAGCATTGATTTTTTCGATACGTCAAGAAAAATCGGTGATGTGTCACATTGAGTGGTCGAAGTTTTGCGTACTTACGAAATACATGTAAGAAATTGATATCATCTGTGGGTCCCTCGGTAATCGTAAACACTCTTGGAAAATGAGTTTTTGTATTCGGAATCTTCACATTAATAAATGACGGTCAAAAACGTGACTTCTTCCCTCCTACATGCTCCAAATACTCCAACGATTAAGACAACTTTAGCTAACAGGAATTCTTTGTCATCGGCTTCTTTCATAAAGCGTTCTATTTCCAGTTTTGTAAATACTTTTGATTTCTTTGCCTGATATCCGGAAGCTTTTATTTTTAAAAATGCAATAAGGTTTCTGAATTTGCTAAGATCTACGTTTCTGTTCAGGTAAATTATGGTGCGGAGAGAGCATCGAATATTTAAAAAGGCTTTAAGGTAGTGGATAACTTCAGGAAATAGGCTAGGAATACCATTTCTGTGAAATTCTCAACATGTTTTTCTTTGACCCAGGTTTCAAAGTTGTATGTGGTCTCGTATAAGTTTTTCGACTTCTCGGGCACTAACGTGGATAGCGCAGTTTCAGCAGCTTGTTGAATATCCAAAGACTCTTTCACAAAACTTTGTAGGAAATACGGCGACATTTGAACCTGGCAGAACTTTGTCATAAAACAATGCATAAACAATGACTTAGAAACCGATTACCAGAACACTTTAAAAAATGTTTAAAAATAAATAATAATAATAGCATGAAAATCTCAAATTATCCGCTTTCACAAAAAATCTTGTATGAAATTCTTGTTACATATATAGCTATTTCATGACCTATTGCAAAATTTTAGATGAAAATTTACACTCAATTTGATTAGCTCACCTTGTAGTCCAAGTAGAGCGCCTGGAAAGGACGGCGACCTCGTCTGGTCCAGCAAGCCGCCGTTGGTGTGAAAGGGATTGTGCTCGTCCAGCATGTTGGGGTAGTCGGGTGGTTCAGTCTTTGGTGTGACGGGTTCGCCGTCGCCGTGATCGCTCGGCGCCGTGTCGCTACTATTGCTATCTTCGCACGTTTGCTGGGGCGATTCGGAGTTATTGCTGGATTTCTGAAAGAATAAAAGGACGCAAATAAAAAACTCAATTTATCATAGAAAGAAACAAAAGTTCAAAGTGGTAATGACTCTTTCTGCAGCTAAGTCTAATCTGGACGGACCTATCGACTTGGCAAGTATCTAAATCGACTTTTAGTCATGAGATATCCGATGTCATCCGGCCTCGAACCGGCGGGAATGAGCAGTGTGTGTTAATAGAGTTTACACTCTTGCCATAGAACAGCACGACAGAATGTCCAAACGAGCACCGGTTCATCAACTCACATCGTTTAACGTCGCTTAACTTCGGTCAACTATCGGGAACAATTATCATTCGGAAATTTTCACTAGTGATACCACAAGAAATTAAATTATTTCCGGAATTTTTTTCGAGGTAATGAATATTTTGAAAATTTGCTAAAACCAAAGAGCGAGAAAAAATGTCCGGATTTAGTTGAACCGTGGCTAACGTCATATTCAAGGCCTGACTGTTTTGACAGTTCTACCGAAGTGGTCGAGAATTAGTAGTCGTAAAGAAAGCTATTGTTTTCATATAGTTTCGCAACAAATCTGTGTTTTTTATGCGTTTCTATGCTAATAAAATTATACTAAATAATTTTGAGTGTACTCTGAGTGAATAGTGAACTATCTAGATCCGATTCATAACATCGTACCCGCAAAAAAACCCATACTTTCGGTAAAAATTATAGTAACACCGGCGATGCGGGCTGTGTGTTCGGGCTAGGAAAAAGTTGGGGAATTTATATAAAAACATAATTAATAGGGTCAGTGTTAGTGTATAGTGTTAAACCAACGTAAGTGACGTGTATTTTTAGGTAAAACCGAGGGTAAAACAGTTTTCGTTTCTTTTTTTTTCTTTGTAAAATAAAAAATGCCGCGACATTGTTCTGTGCCTGTGCCTTGTAGCAGCAATTATAATAAGTACTCAGGATCTGTCTACATTCTCTTTCCCAACAATATTAACTGTAACTAGGTCACGTCCAAAACCTACAGAAGATGCTGTGCATACAATTTTTCCAAATCAACCCTCTTATATGACTGCATGTTCCCAAACATCCCGATGAAAGAAAACAAGATTTGGAAATTCAGGATGAAATAAATATTGAAAATTATTATTATTATTATGAAATATATACTATTATTATGAAATGGCAATATATTTTAAAGAAGTTAAATGAATTGTACTTTATTTCAGTATTTTATATAAAAAAATGATATCTTTATCTTTTTATTTACGATATATGGAAATGGTTACTTGATGAACATCGAACTACAAATTACTTAATGATAATAGTTAATTCTACCTGATATCCACGTTTTTTACATATGTTAGGCAAATTTTTACAATTATCTTTAATTAAACTTTAAAATGTATTCTGCCCTTATCATATTCAATACATTTTCTTAACTTGTCGATAAAGTATAGCTTTCAAATTTTTTAATATTTGGAAACTTTATCACAAGGTATATTATTACTAGTTGCTAAATACTCGCTAACGCAATTTTAGGACATGCTTTTTATTATCTGGATTTTATTCTATTCATCTTATGCTGTTGTTTATTTCATATTAATATTCGTGTTTTAGATCTAAATTTTAATGCTATTCAATTAATTTAACGTGATAAAAAGTTAATGTTATTTTTAATACCTTCGTGTATAATATTTTTCATATTTATGTTTGGCAAAACTATCAATAAATAGTATTATTTATGCAAAAACTATATGCAGTACCTTATGGCACAATTCAAAAGCCCGACTATTGCGGTGACGTCACAAATCGATGTTTCTGGCCTGTATCTCATGTTGGTTACGGTTAAACCTCACATTTGTGATAATTTTAAAAACACAATATAATTTTAAAATGATTTTAAACACAAATTGTGTTTAAAATCATTTTAAAATTATATTTTTGAATTTTCGAAAATGGCTATTTTTTCTTTGATAAGACACCGGCAAAGCCATAGATAAAAGACTTATAACAATGTATAGAGAGTTTGACTTGGTAATTCCAATTGCCAGGGTAACTAAGAAAACTTTAACTTACGTTTGAGACCTATTACTTTTATAGTAAAAAAATCAGTTTTGAAGTCCATTTTATATTGTCAAGACTTAAATATAGGCCAACTTGGGTTTATATCAATTTGGGGAAAATCATATTTTATAAGCCAATTTGATGTAGTAAACCCAAGGGAATCGTTCACATAAACGTATACTTAGATATATGTTCTTATAATAAACATTAGTAATTAAAACAATTAAAATTACGTCGACGTAACGTGAGAATTTAAGGTGATGTTCGTCGCAAACATCGGCGATGGAAATATACAAAAGCACTCTTGGAGAGAGATCGCGCAGTCCCGATATGTTTCTATAATAATCTGGACATTTACCAGATTATTTCGCTCATATTTATATTATTATTTCCCTTATTCCTCATATTATTATACTTGTATTTTTATTTAATTGGTTGGACTTAAGTGACCCTAGCCAAAACTCCCAAAGCTAGGTCGCGACAATATTTTTAAAATTAATCATTTTGGAAACCATGTATGTAATTTATCTAAAAAATGTTGTCTGACGTAACGACTAATCATCGTACTATGTTATATCGGATCCAACTAACAAAAGATTGTGGTTGCCATTTGAAGAAAAGCAATTTGTTCCGAGTTCTTTGGGAATATTTGCATCTAAATTATTCAAAATTGAAACTATTAATAGGAAAATTGGCAAATAAAATAGAGTCTAAATATTATATTTTATCAGACATATATATTTAAATGAAAAATGATCAATTCCAAGTTCATTTTTCCCTCCCAAAAAAAACACTTTTTCTCCAAAAATTTTCTTTAGCATACAATTTATTATCTATAGCTATTTACTTTTATATCTGGTAAAGGTTTAAGGAAGCTCCGTTTTTAACAAAAATTTATAAATACATTTTTTTTTTCATTTTCTAATAAATCCAACAATTTCAAAATATGCAACCCAGAAGATAATTTGATTTCTTGTTTTAAAAGGTACAACCTGTGCATTATTTTTATTGCAGCGCAAAAATCCGCAGGAAACCGATAAACGCATTCAAATCAGTTTACAAACTTCTTGTAGGCAGCAAGTTTGTGAACATTTACAAACGTTCGTAAGCCTATTTACCAATGTTCCTTTGGTGTGTACGCGACGTGTAAGTTAAGTTACTTACTTCTTTCGTTAAGATAGTAGGTCCTCCTTCCAACGCTTGCCCCAGTAACGACTCGGGCATCTCCCCGTTGTTGTTACTCGACGAAGGGCTGCGTTCCCTAAAGCTGGGAAAACTATCCCTTTCCGAACTACGTGCCCTTTTCGCGGGAGGGGGAGATAGCCGACCCTCCCGCAACGCTTCTGGACGGTCGGTAGCCCACGGTAATGAGGAAGAATTCTGCAAAAATAAAATAGAAACACATTAGGTATATAAATATCTTTCAAAGTATTCATACAAGTATCTTTATTATATTGTTTATTTCAATTGTAGTGAAAAATAAACTGATTAAGTGGAATTTAAATTTGGCGCTGGGGATTCAGATGGTAGCTCTGCTGTAAAAAAATGTCAAGGTGCCACATTTATTTATTTATTTCCTGAGATTGTCATTCGTTTTGATACTTTAGTTTTGTATATTATGAGTTTTTAATTTAAATAAATAGTGTTGTGATACTTTAAGCTTAAAATTATTTACTAGCAGACCTTGCAGTCGAACACTGTTCTTTTTAGAACCTCTTTTAGTGCGAAGTGTACAAGATAGCTTAATAGCCGTAAAAAACTCATAGCAACTTTATTAGAATATAAATATAGTTGAATCTCAATCACCCTGTATACACGATCCGGTTCTAATGATTTGAAAGGCCAGATGATTTAATTAACGAGATTTATCCTAAATGGATAGGCAAACTCGCTAATTGTTGCGGTGAAAATATTTCGGTTATGTGTTTTTCTGCTAGTATAATTTTATTAATAGATGATGTTTATTAACAGATTTACTGGTTTTTAAAAAGCCCATTCGCGCTTTTTCAACAGATGCTACTTTATTATTTACAGTATCTATGTTAATCGATAAAATTACATGACCAACATTATGCTTTTCATCTATGGTAATCGCAAAACAATTTCCGATGCACGTGATCAACTTTGAGTGACAAGCGATGACGACAGGGCTGCCAGATTGTGATCGATTTAAGAGATGCATCTTAATTTAAGAGTGACAAACAATATATTTATTATATCATTTTTAAAAGATTTTTACGTTTTTTTTTAATTTAATAACTAATATTTTAGTAATCAATTGATTTATTTGTTTTATAGCTTATTTTACTTATTACATATTGGCAAAAACTAGTCCATTATGAAGATAATTCTAAGCGCTATTAAGGCAAGGGATATTTATTTATTTATTGATGTACATCTTACAACGCCATAAGTGGTAATAAACCAAACAAGTAAGAGGGTGCTATTAATGCACAAACTCATAATCACAGAATTTAATAAAACTAACGTAGAAATAACTTTGAAAGTGATGTAATGCGCTTATCAATCAAACTTACTTCTCTGACTGCAGTCAAGAAGTAATAAAGGACCTTTATTGTCAAGTTCCCGTTCAAAATAGTTTATTAGGGAAGCTACAATAAGCTCTTTGCTTCGACTGTTTAAATGCTTCGGCATATTTTGAACACACAATTTCAAGAAATGAAATACAAAAACTTGAAAATTTAGTTCTTAAAAAGAACTGTTTGTGCTTAAAAGTACAATTTAAAAAAACTATGGAAATATGCAAAAAACGGGAATTTCAAAAACGGGAAAACAAAGATTCAAAGAACAATACAATATTATACATAATAATGACTGACATTAGGATAATTGTCAAATAATAAACGACAACCTTGGTGAAAACGGCGCAATGTGACAACGATAATAAAATTCGGTTTAAACCATGGGTTAAACTAATTTTTGCACACTCTAAATAAAATATCTGTTACAATCATTTGCTCTGTAAACCTATAACATAGGATAATATACAAGTACTGATTTGTTTCGAAAATCGACAACTATGACACTATGAACCCTTCCCAGACACAAACGGTACATTGTGAGACAGGAAATTGTAGAGAGAAACAAGCCCTATAACATAGGATACCACATTTTAATGAACAGTGCTTTCCATAAAATCAATAAAATGAAAAATATATGTAATAATATACATGTACTGATTTCTTCCTAAAATCGACATCTATGAAACTATGAACCCTTCCTGGACACAAACGGTACATTGTGAAACAGGAAATTGTAGAGAGAAACAAGCCCTATAACACAGGATACAACATTTTAATGAACAGTGCTTTCCATAAAATCAATAAAATGAAAAATATATGTAATAATATACAGGTACTGATTTCTTTCGAAAATCGATAACTATGAAACTATGAACCCTTCCTGGACACAAACGGTACATTGTGAGACAGGAAATTGTAGAGAGAAACAAGCCCTATAACATAGGATACAACATTTTAATGAGCAGTGCTTTCAATAAAATCAATAAAATGAAAAATATAGGAAATAATATACAGGTACTGATTTCTTTCTAAAATCGACATCTATGAAACTATGAACCCTTCCTGGACACAAACGGTACATTGTGAGACAGGAAATTGTAGAGAGAAACAAGCCCTATAACATAGGATACAACATTTTAATGAACAGTGCTTTCCATAAAATCAATAAAATGAAAAATATAGGAAATAATATACAAGTACTGATTTCTTTCTAAAATCGACATCTATGAAACTATGAACCCTTCCTGGACACAAACGGTACATTGTGAGACAGGAAATTGTAGAGAGAAACAAGCCCTATAACATAGGATACAACATTTTAATGAACAGTGCTTTCCATAAAATCAATAAAATGAAAAATATAGGAAATAATATACAAGTACTGATTTCTTTCTAAAATCGACATCTATGAAACTATGAACCCTTCCTGGACACAAACGGTACATTGTGAGACAGGAAATTGTAGAGAGAAACAAGCCCTATAACATAGGATACAACATTTTAATGAACAGTGCTTTCCATAAAATCAATAAAATGAAAAATATAGGAAATAATATACAGGTACTGATTTCTTTCGAAAATCGACATCTATGAAACTATGAACCCTTTCTGGACACAAACGGTACATTGTGAGACAGGAAATTGTAGAGAGAAACAAGCCCTATAATAAAGTACCTAAAATGAAGAGCTGCTCGGTATCTTAAATTATACAACAAATTTAAACATTTTTGCCAAAATTTTATTTAGTCAGGTTTATAGACTTGATTTAAGATTTTTTCCCATTATAACACCATTAAGTTTGGAATAGTAAGTAATTATTAGTGACATAAAGTTACTTAAAATATTATTTACACCAAATTCAATTCAAACGATTCAAATACAGGGTGAGATTTTCTGTCATTTATTAGATGTCGTTTGTTAAAATCTTCCCTGACTTATGTTGGACAGATTTTTAATGACAGCTATCTTATGGAGTAACACATTACTATATTGACCGGCATCGGCACAGCGTTGCTCACTTTTACATATTTTCTTTTAATCAAAATATTTTATGAAACAAAAATAAACTAATTAAAATATATAAACAGTTAGAATTATTTACATCAACAAAACTCACCTCCTTAACAGCACTTAAAGCGGCCCTCGCACGATCAATAATATTGTCAATATTTTGGATTATTGACAATATTATTGAGCGTTTGAGCGTACATATTGATGGAGTTTCAATATATTGATGGATTTTCGGGATAATGAAAATACTCGACAATATTAAAGGCGGAGCTAGTCGTTTTTCGGGTTCTTGTTATTACCGATTCTGAACCGTCCTAGAGCTCTGCAGCGCATGCGCAAATGAAATAATGTCTTCATATTTCCTTCTGCGCATATACGCATCACAGTTCTAGGACGGTTTAGAATCGGTAATAACAAGAACCCGAATAAAGCTAATATATTGATCGTTAGGTCGCATGATTGACAAAATTTGACTAGTTTATTGGTAACCATGGCGAAAGACGGAACATCGCCGTCGTTGTTTTCACCAGTTTTAGATCATCAGGCTCCCGTTTCTTAACGTAACTAGAAGATTTAGTTGGCCAAACCTTTTTCTTTTTGGAAATTTTTTTGTATAACGCCTTTTCTTAATTTTTTTCTTCGATTTTTTCACACTGACTGACACTCACTGCCAAAATGACACGCCTTTTTTATCTTTCATTTTTTGGCATAGGGTATAATTCACATTTAATATCTGCACAAAACTTAATATTGATATATGTATTGACCGTGTCAGGCCACCTTTCAAATATTGATTAAACATTGACAATATTATTGATCGTGTGAGGGCCGCTTAAGGGACATAAAGAGGCAGAGGTTATAAAAAAGAACAATGTTCGACTGCAAGGTCTGCTAGTAAACATTTTTAAGCTTATTTATACCAAAAACTCGTAATACAAAACTAAAGTGTCAAACGAATGACAATGCCGGAAATAAATAAATAAATGTGGCAACTTGATTTTTTACAGCAGAGTTTCCAATGAATCCCCAGCGGGAATTTTAAATTCCAGTTAGTTAGCCTGGCGCCGAATATGTCCAGTGTTGGTAACAACGAAGTAAAAGTTTAATTGGTATCAAGAATATTTAGGTTTTCTGATTAAAAATCGTTATAGGTACAATAAAAAAACGCTGTAAGATATTCAAATGGTGACGTGTTCCTAATTTTAAACGGATTTCAAATTAAAACCAGTAATTATCCAAAAAATACACTATTATTATTAAAAATTAACATAAAATAGTCGAAAATCCAAGGCCGGGCATTCGAGTTTGGCAAGGTAATAACAATAATAATAGCCGTTTAAATAACGTTCATTAAAAATTCACGTAGTTGGGGCAAGTAAGTGAGCGGCGAAGATTGCCTACTTTAAATAAAGCATTAAAACCAAATTATTGTTGTTAATATCACATATTTCTCAGGTTCGATAGTGGTTTTTCCGATTCGTAATATGCGGCGATTTACAATTATTCACGTATTTATTAATTTCAAATATTGTTAACCTTTCGATTTTATTGATTTTGTAACTGTAACTAGCAATGAATCCTGCCCACGTACCGTATATTCTTTTTTTGTGTTGGCGGTATTTTGAATTGATGCTTTACATTATTTTTTAAAGATTATGTTTTAACAGTCATCTATCTGATGATATTATAGGCCTGTGACAACGATGTGTGACATCATACCAGTAGATCATATTGCATGATATTGTCTCTATGTTGAAAATTATACGACGTATAGACTTTCTTGTTTCCAGCAACACTAGAAGCAATCTTCCGTCAACTGGACTGGACCAACAAATGATGGAAATATATCTTAGCCATCTAAGATTCTAAGGAGAATGGCCCGACACACTCCAGCATTGTCACTCTCCACAAGAAAGGGAGCATACTTAAGTTCAGCAACTATCGTACAATTTTCTTCATCTCACATGCCAGTAAAGTAATGTTGCAAATTATAAATGAAAGACTGAAAGCTTTTCTAGAAAGAGAAATTCCAGCAGAACAAGCAGGTTTCACCAAGGGCAGAGGCACTCGGGAACATCTTCTGAATATGCGCCAAATCATAGAGAAAGCAAGGGAATTCAACATCACACTTTATATTTGTTTCGCAGACAAAAAGCTTTCGATAAAGTCAGATGGCATCACCTGTGGAAAATCTTAAAGGAAGTGGGGTACCACAACACCTTATTTCACTTATCATCCAGTTGTATCAGCACACTACAGGATCAGTTAGAATACTGGATTCAGCTTCAAAGGAATTTTCCCTCGAACAAGGAGTCAGACAGGGGTGTATATTGTCTCCTCAACTATTTAACATATACAGAGAATACATAATGAGAAGGTCGCTAGAAACATGGGAAGGAGGTATTTCAATAAATGGCCAAAAAATAAATAATCTACGCTTTGCAGATGATACAGCACTACTCGCTGGCAGTCGAGAGAAACTGGCAGTAGAAAACGAAAGCAATCGGCTCGGTCTGGAACTAAATACACAAAAAACCAAAATCATGATAGTTGATAGGCAACATAACAACCATTCAAATATAAGTTATATCGACCGCTTTGAAGTCGTTAAGTCATACGTATACCTGGGATCACTATTGACAAATACAGGCACATCGGAAGAAGAGGTGAAGCGTAGGTGCAACATGGCAAAGGTAGCTGTTGGGAGACTGACCAAGATCTATCTATGACCAAGATTTGACCGGCTAGTCAACTGTTTGGTACTCCCAATATTGACGTATGGCTGCGAATCGTAGACTCTCAGGCAGGCGGAACGTAAGAAGATCGGTGCTACCCAGATGTATTGTTATAGACGTATGCTCCGTATCCCATGGACTGAACGCCGTAAAAACGTTTTCATTATAAATTAATTTAATATTACTAACAGGTTTTCCTGTAAAATCCGACTAAAACAACTAAAATATTCTGGACATATAATGAGGAAAAGTCCGGACAATACGGAAAGACTCATAATTCAAGGCAACGTGGAGGGACGTAGACCACGTGGCCGCCCTCCAACTCGATGGATAGACCAGATCACGATTAGCTGTAGCAAGCCAATGCACGATGTCATCGAGAGGACCAAATACAGAGGCGCATGGAGAAAAATCATCCATGAAGTTACGCTGACCACTACACTCCCTAATGGGGGTCGGGACTGAAGAGAGAGAGAGAGATCTAAGATTCACTGATGACATAAATAAATCCTAATTGCCAATACTCCTGAATAACTAAAAAAATTAAAGCAATAAAGTATTTTTCAAAATGAATTTAGCAAAACTAAAGTAATATACAACTAACTGAAGTAGAGAGAAAGACATTCTAATAAATACAACACAACACTGAAAAATAGTAGAAGAATATATTTAGGACAACTAATTCACAGCTCAGAATCTCTACTACCAGAAATCAACAGAAGGATTAAAGTTAGCATGGAGTATGGAAGAAACTCAATCATATTCAATCATATTCAAATTTCTAGAATGCCGCTTATCTAAAGAAGAAAACTATGTGTACTACCAGACACATGACTCAGGCATGCGAAACTTTGACATTTAAAACAGACATTATAAGGAAACTGCAGATCTCACAACGCTCAATAGAATGAAATATGCTGAAATAATCAGAAAAAGAGCGTAAAAGACTACAGTGGATACGACAAAAAGACCCAGGTAATAGATGTCATCCACAGAATCAAATCCTCAAGTGGAAATGAGCAGGACACCTGGCAAGAAAAATAGACAACAGATGGATCACTAAAATTACAGCATGATAGCCAAGAGTAATTAAGAGACCTCGAAGAAGACCAAACCATGTGTTAGACCATGCCATGATATTAGTAGGGATAACTTGAGCCCAACTGGGCCCAACTACAAAGAGAGTATCTAAATATCTGATGGAGGCTACCATAATTAAAATGTTTAATAAACTGAAAATGATAATGGATAATGATGATACATCAATAGGCAAAAGTTGTTCTTATCTCTATAGAAAAATTTGTGACTCCCATTACTGGTAATAATATAATATCTAAATAGATTTATTTTCAAGTACTATTAAAAACTTTTGTATAGTTAAAAAGACATTTAAAAATACATTTCAATCTTGTTCCTAACTTATTTTAAGTTTTATTTTCGAATTGCGACCTGTTTTGTTCATTATACAGCTAGTTAAAATGATATGTTCTGTTTCTTAAAAAAACTACAACTCCTTTATTAACAAAAGGACCAGAATTACTATTTTTAAAGATTTTATTTGTTTTAAATTAAAATTTCGGCGGTTCATTAAAATATTCAGTCATTACAGGGAACGACTGAGATATACAGTCAAACAACGTACCAACAAAAGAGTAAAGCTTCATTCAGAACCTCGAAACTAATATAATAAAATAAATTAGTGGTTTCAATTATAATCTATAGTTAATAGTTTACGATCATTCACAATATCTAAAAAATACAATTAAAATTAGTAGTATATTCCAGCAGCAGCTTGCAGTAGTCAGTTGTATCTAGTGATGGGAAAAACCGATTAATTTCAATAATCGAGTACTCGAGTTTCAAGCGATTGCAATAACCGAGTTCGATCGCTCGAACGAAATATCACTCGTATTTAAAAATACGATTTTTTACCCGTCGCTTGTTGTAAGTACTCGTTAACGCCAAGCGCCAAGCAGTAAGTTGCGTGCGCAGGACACATATTCTTTCTGTAATGAATGGCAAGTAGCAAGCAACCAGCGATTCGCTTGATTTAGTAGATTTCAAAGCATTGTCGCTGTAGGTCGTAAAATTTTGTCCGTCAGATACGCAACGGATAAATATATACGGCGCGGTATGTAACAAAAAAATCTATATATAAATATCACTCGTATTTAAAAATACGGTTTTTCACCCGTGCGTCGCTTGTCGTAAGTACCCGTTAACTCCAAGCGCCAATCAGTAAGTTGCGTGCGCAGTGATGAATGGCAAGTAGCAAGCGGCGAGCGATTCGCTTGATTTAGTTTATTTCAAAGCATTGTCGATGTAGGTCGTAAAATGTTGTCCCTCAGATACGCAACGGATAAATATATATTCGGCGTCGTATAAATTTGCCACCTGCAACGTATGTAGAAAATTCGCTCGGCTTTTTATCGAGTATGTCACATTAAAATCGGATTTCAATTTATTTCATTCTAGGATCGCTTGCGTTCGTCGTTTGGTACTCGTCACTTGCATCGCTCGTCCATAATCGAGAGATGTCGGTTATTCAATAATCGAGTACTTCGCTCGAGTTATTCCATCACTAGTTGTATCCATAGAGAAAGCCTAATTCCTGAAGGATGATAATCAAAGGCCAAAATTACATTACTCGGAAATGTTGAAGTATAATTAGTGGAAAAAGTTTGGTTAATTTTTTCTACTAATTGAAAATGACTACCACTAATTTTAACGTTCTGAATGCGGTGAGTGAAATTAGAAGAACAAACTTCTACGCTAATTGTAACCACTAATTTACTCTACTAATTTCGAGAATAAGAATGAAGCTTTACGCTGCTTGCCGGCAGTACTTGGATTGACAAGGCATTTCAGAGAATGACGAATTTCATTGACGCTGACATAATATATAAACTAGTGATATATTTCAGAAATTGGAAACAAGAAACGATTGCCTTACTTACATTTGAGATCTTTTGTTCCGATGGTGTGGCTGTTGTGGTGGTTAGTCTTTGTCCAGTGGCGGCGGCCGATACGTCGGCCAATCCCCTCACTTGCAACATTTGCGCAGTCTTTAAAAAATCCGTTAAGTGTTCTTGGGCAATGTGAACCTCGCCATTGTACATAAACCTGTAAAAAATAATGATATTTAGTACATCGCTATCCACTTAATAAAGTGATACTCTAAATTAATTATGAGTTAAAAAATCATTCCGAAAACAATGAATATTAATTTAGTTTAAACTGGTAAGGAAGGAAATTATTTTATTCCCTTTGTTTCTCGAAACAAATAGTCATAAAATGTTATACATATTCAACATAATGAACTATATAATTGTGAAGTTTTCCCACAAATAAGTAAGTAAAACATTATATTAAAAATAATGTGGTTTTGTAATTATTATAATTATAATTAATGAGGATACGAATTTAAAATTAGTATAAATACTTATAAGAAGGTACTAACTTATAAGAAGGTACTTTGTAGCGCAGCGGAACAGCTTACGTTTACCATTCTAAAGTTACACACACACATACAGTTTATTTTTACATCTATTATCTCAAGGCGAAAAAATCTTCAAGAGAAGAAAGCATGTAATATATTACATTATTTTATAAAATTATTACTACCCTTAAAATACTTTTATTGTTTTAAAAAATATAGAATTAACTTTTACTCAGTAATTACAATACCCTTTGCCCTCAACTTCGAGACTTCGTTGGTTTATTAAAAGATAAAACAAATAAAACCGAAAGAGAGATCCCGAAAGAAGAAAAAAGGCAAAAGTATTGCTTACCTTTGACTCGTGTAAAAGAAAATTCCAATTTTAAACTTTTTGTACTTCAAGAAGTCATAATATCACCAAAAAATAAATAGAAATTATAAATTATCTAGTTATTTAATTAAAAAGTATTAGCATGAATTAGCTCCCAATATTATTCGATACGCGGCACATAATTATAAAAGAACAATGTACTATTTCGGCTACTAAGTAAATCAAAACAATGCACTTAAAAATAAAATATTTTAATTGAATCCAAATTTATGTCATATACCAACATGCCAAGTCTTGCTCTCAAAATAAAAAATTGGCGCCGGTAGGCACGTATAGCCGCCCATGCTAAAATATGTTAATAAAAAGTTAGTAGGCAGTTCTTTTAGTTTCAATTATCTCAAATACTGCGACTGTCTGATTTTGATGTTATTACAAATTTTGTTGCAAATATTATTCCTAATCTTAAATTCAAAACCGCGTTTCGCTAGCTACTGTAATTTTGGAGTTTTAAAAACGACTTTTTAAAATTTTTAACCCCCTCCCATACCCCCTTACCAACCCCCCACCCCCACTAAGAACTAATGGCCAGATTCTCGGGTGCCACAGTATTTTGAGTCAAACCAAACCAAACCAAATTTGGTTAAAATCGGTTTAGCGGTTTTTGAGTTATCGTGTTAAAGACAGAAGGACAGTCAGACAGACAGACACCATGAAAATATTTTATTTTTTTTTGTTCATAAATGACTCATTTGAGTGAAACATTCAATAACTCATTTTGAGTGAAATTAAAAAAACTTTTTTTTTGCCGATCTTAATAGCCTACCATACCTGTTGGTATGGTAGATATAATAAAAAGTTATAGGGGTGAGCCACTTTTGAGAAACACCCGGTATATAAAATATCATAACTGCATACTTTCTACTGCTAAACGCAGTAACGGCACATATTTATAAAATTAAATTATTCCTAATATATAAATACCAAAAAGGTTTTAATCGTATTAACGGGAGAAAGAAAACATACACCCAAAAATTATTTTCTAGTGCGGACAAAATGAAAAGGTCAAACAACTCGCTTTAAATGCAAATGAATGTTGTTTAGATATTTTTCAAAAAGATTTCGGCTACTAATTGATATTGAGAGAATGCAGAAACGCTTTGTGAAAGTTACATATAAATAAAATTGTAGTTTATTTTTTAATAATTGAAGGAATTTAAATATATGTATACTACTATACCGATTTGGTTATTTTAGAAGTGTTGGTCTTGATTTTAACGTGTAAGACAGTGATGTCTAAGGTAGTTTGGAAAGAATTTCGAGGAAATATAGCCTGTATATATTTTTTTTCTTTTAATGGTGCATTTGTTTAACATTAATAGTTTATGGCGTATTTTTTAATTTTAAAATGTAACCAAATACCACCGTCTACAGATAATGAAGTCTACCGAATTAAAAAAAAGGTAAAATAGAGTGTATTATTATACTAGAATAAAAATAATAAGTTTTTTGATATAGTACTTTGACATTTATCAAGTCGTAATCCTATAATTCAATTTTCCACTTCGGTAAATCAAACAGTAGGAAGTCTAGCGTCGCCTTTTTTATTTCTTTTTTAATTTGTAGATTTCTATTTATCTAATGAAGGCGATAATTAAAATATGACATTCAAATATTTATGTGGTAGGGAGTCTGGAAGTCTTTGTTGTAGGTAATACAAAATATAACTTCCCCTAGTAGATGCAAGACCTTGTCGTTGGTGGGGAAGCTCCTTGTCAGGTGCGCCTTGTGTGGAGGAATCTCCTCTAGCACTTTAGCTCGGTCTAAGAAGCATCTCGTTGTCTTGTCCCTGGCTGTAGTGTCGTGGCCAGGGAATTGCACCAAGACATATAACGAAGCCGGACGGGGCTGCTACTGTCCGTCATACCAAGCACCCTCTACTGACTGTGGTCATGTCTCACGGGACCATGTCAAAGGGATGCGTGGCTAGATAGAGGACTAGCCATTACTGGCCTCAACCTTGGGACATCAGGGGGCACCCCATTGTATTTACCCCTTACTTCTGCATGCGGGGCTCTGTAGAAGTGGCCGACTATCCTTAGCGACTCGTGGGAACACTATGAGATCTAGTATTCTAGTATTAAAAACACCACCGGTGACGCTGTGGGGAAGCCCGTAGTGACAATGGGAACATTACAAATGAAAGTTCCAAGGGACCAAATCCAAAGGAAACTATAGGAGGGGCGACCTACACTTGCTTGGGATCATCCTCCACAAGTGGCACACAAGCTACCACCTTCTCCAGCAAGGGTCGGGAGCCTACCTCTAAACCCAATAAGCGACATAAGCTACCGCTCGTCTACCCGGCCTGGGTCAACCAGGCGGGCTAGACGATCCTCTCAGAGTAGGTCTTAGCGGAGCAGAAGCACGGAGATACCTCCGACTGCAAGGACTCACTCCATAAGAAGCAAAAGCAAAAACACAACTCCGAAAAGGGGAGAGTAAAGAAACCAAGACACAACCTGACTCATCTCCATCAAAGAGCAAGAGAGGGAGCGAGAACCTCTCACCTATTCTCCGTCAGGGATAGAAAAAAGCCTGGATGGAAAGCCGTCCAACACCGAGAGGCAAGCAGGGACGTATCACCAGCAGAGGTTGCTCTGCCCACCGACCAGCAAACGTCTCTAGAAGAGACTATACTGGACGAAGTAGTGGCGATCGGATCGCAACACAACGATCTACAAAATGTGGGTCAGCTGCGTTTTGCGGGGATACACTTTCGGGCGGGCATGATCCTCATAGATTGTGTATCTCAATAATCGGCGAATTGGTTGGTGGAAATCGCACCTAAGCTTAAAAATTGGCAAGGGCCGGAACTGGTTGAACAGTGAAGGGAGAAAGGGCGGCAATTAACGGTCTTTCTGCCGAGGAGCAAGGGGAAAGACACCACCTGCCTGCTGAGCCTTATCCAAGGGCAGAACTTCAATATAAGGACATTGAGTTGGCGAGTCATCAACTCGAAGGAGGAGGGTCATGGTCAGGCCCTCACAATAGGAATTGACCTCAAATCCAAGGAGGCAACAGAGAAAGAGGGACATATCCTCTATTATAGATACGGGACAATACCGGTATCAGGTCTAAGGAGAGACCAAGTTAAAGAGGTGGAGAAAATGGAGACAGATCCTCCAGCTTCCACCTCACGAGTTCCTCAGCCGGAGGCAAGCTCCTCAACTGTGAAGAGCGGCACGGAGGGCCAAACTCCAACCGTGGAAGGGTGTGTATCCTCGGAGGAAGAACTGTGGTCAGAGGAGGATGGGAAATACCCTGTCCCCTCTACAACAGGGGTATGATGGGTTATAGATTATGTGATAACTCAAGGAAGGGGGCACAATAGATCTTTAAGGTCGCAGTGATTACCCTCCCCCCTCTTACTCATTCTACATTCTACAATACAAAATAAACTTTAAATGAAATAAGTATATAATAGACTCTCCTAAAGTACTTTTTAAGATTTATTTCCTTCGAAAAAATTGTTCATAACTTTGGAACGAATACAAAATGTTTTTATTTGATCTAGAAACTACAAATCGTCTACTAAAATTTATTTTCTATAAATATTGAAGGATAATGTCATTTTTCCAGATCGTGAAATCACAAGTCCCAATCCGACACTGATGAAAGAAATTATTATTAAAATAAAACAAACAACTGAAGTTTTTTGCACTAAAAATGATCAAATAATTAGTCCCTACACTCTGACAAACGAATCTGAATCAACGGAGCAACGTTAAGGGGATCACAGTTTTCTAAAAACATGGCCGATCTCATTCATAAAAAATCCAGGAGCATGCGATGAAAATATATAGAAATATTTTCGTTAATTATAGTTACATTTTATTTACTGATTTGCTAAAAATAGTAATATTTGTTAAAACTCGTACACTATTACAATAGTCACAATTCACGGCATAAAATACAAGACAATAACACCCGCCACGAGAGTTTTCAATACTAGTCTACAGTATTTCTAGAAAAAAAAAGAAGTTTATTTTCGAAGATTCAATTTATATAGAATATTTTTTTGAGGGAAAAAAGCCATCATGGGCACTTGGTAAGACAACCGAAGCGGTGTCAGACTCTTACTGATTAAAACAACCCTCAGAACCCTTATGTATCTCCTTCTGGAACCGCGTTAGCATTACTTCAGAAGGAGAGTCTATGTAGATGTTCTGTTCTATGTAGTTGGTTTGGATCTACCAGATCATACGTTCTCTCTCTCTCTTCTTTTTTCCATAAGGATTTCCTTAACCATTTTGCTTATTTCCTTCCAAAATATTTCTTCTTCAGCATGTTGTC